CGACGTTGAGTATAACTTTTTCCTTGTTCCTCTGTTTGATTCATTTGTCATATACATGTCTGTTGCTGATTATCGATCATGCTAGGATATTCATGAACAAATCTGTTCATGGCAGTGCCATTTGACTGTGTATGATATTTCTTTTGTTAATATCATAGTTACTATCTAGCGGATGGTTGTATAAGACCAAGTCAAATGGTGTTCTGATATACATTGTTTGGGATCAAGAACAGATCTTTTTATTGATAAAAAAATTGTATTTTGGATTTAATAAAAATAAGGAAATTTGAAATGAAATATCTCAATGAACGCTAGATTCTTTATTATTATCGAGAACTGAAACCAGCTAAGTTGTTATATAAATGTAGTTTTGAACAAAAATAAGAAAATCTTAGAAATAAGATGTCTGCAATGCGATATTTGAGCAAATTGTTTTTGGCGTCTTTTTCTCACCATAGTTAGATAGAGATCATAAATACAAGTTTGTATTCAGAGATTTTGACCATCAGAACTAGAGTTGCAAATGAAACGAGTTTCATGATCAGAATCAGCAGATAAATCTATATCGAATAGTGAGCTTAATATTTAAAACCACATTTCGCATGTTGCACCGTGTCACTGTTATTTTCAGTAAGTCTGACTTTTGGTTCATCTAAACTTGCTAATTAACGAAAACTTGATTATAGTATTGAGTGTAATATTCGATGTAGATTTTTCTGCTGATTCTATTCATGATGTTTTTCTCATTTATAACTGAAGTTCTAATAGTGAAAACCTCTATATACAAATTCTATATTTGGCGTTTTGCTATAATATTGAAACGATCTACTTTCTCAATAATAAACCAAATTTTTTGAAAAATCTACATGACGAGTAAAATCAAAAAAGATTCGAATAAATATTGAAACTTTCGAGGCTTCATGCTTTTGATGTGTTCTAATTTTCATTGACTTTTTAAATTTTTTTTAACCTAGTTTTCCCCAATTTCGCTACAAAAACATTGTTCAGCTTTGTCGGAACAACAATATTAGAAATCTCTCGACAAGCTCTATGCAATCTTGGCAAAAATCACAATAAAAAATGGTCCAATTTCGAATTACTGACACCTCACTCAACGTCTTGCTGAAAAAAAAAGAAATCTTCTAAAATAAAGATGATAGATCTCACCACTTAATGCTTCCATTTACTATATCTGATGCAAACTAATAGTGATTAAGCACTATGATAAAGATAACAAGCAAAAAAAATACAATGATAAATATACAAAGTTTAAAAAAGAAATAGAAAAATAGATTTGTAAATGAATTCGATTCACGTGATTTTTCTTCCCTATACGAGAAAAAAGAAATTTTTGTAATATTTCTCAAATTATTCATCAATCTTGAAATAGCTGTCTAAGTGAAATATTCAGTCAATCTATTAGACTTTATCTTTGCATTTAGGTAAACTAAAATGCAAAGATATTAGAATTCATTTATATCATTAATATAAAAATTTTGCATTAAAATATTTTTTAGCAATATAATACTAAAATCATTTAGTAAAAGCTATTTTTAACAACGACTGTGGAAAAATTAATGTGTCGCAACATTTTTTTATAAGTTCCTTATCTGGCTTATTGAGGTTGTTAATTAGTAAGAAAAATTTTGTTTTTATCTGAATCGACCGCCTAAGCCATTAGCGTCAAATATAGGTCAGTGTCAGATAGAAGTTAAGATATATTATTGTAATTTCTCTTATATAATCTATACAGACATATTCTACTTTCTTGTTCTTTTATGTAGCTATTTCTGTTGGTTTGATAGTTTTTATTCGCTTGTATTTTTCAATACTACACATATGCATCGACAAAAAAAGAGAAGCAGAAGAAAAAGAAGAACAATCCATAATAGCATCAGGCTAATAAGTATACGTCGAGGCGAGCGGCAACACACCCGTTTGTATAGTTCACCGCTTTATGTATACATATGTGTAGATATACATACAACTGTGGTGTTCTCTCCTATTACGGTACTACTACATATATCCATATAAGGAAATACTCGTTGTTCTTTTCCTGTATAGAAAAACCACAGATATTACCAAATATACTATTATGTATATCCTTATACGGCATACGAGAGTGCCCGAGAAAAGAAGAGAAAAATAGTAGTTACTATATAACTTTCGGTCCTATCCATCATAAGCTTGCCTTTTGTGTCTTGCATATTCACAGCAACATCACTTACAACATTTACCACTCGTACTAAAAATCAAGAAGAAAAATGTGTGACGAAGACGTTGCAGCTATTGTTATTGATAATGGATCAGGTAAGAAAAAAAAAGAATACATGTACGAGTATGAACTTTGAAATAATGATTTGTTATATACAGGTATGTGTAAAGCTGGCTTTGCTGGTGATGACGCTCCTCGATCAGTATTTCCATCAGTTGTTGGTCGACCTCGTCATCAAGCCGTTATGGTTGGTATGGGTCAAAAAGATTCATATGTTGGAGATGAAGCTCAATCAAAACGTGGTATCTTAACACTTAAATACCCAATTGAACACGGTATCATTACTAACTGGGATGATATTGAAAAAATTTGGCATCACACATTTTACAATGAACTTCGTGTTGCACCTGAAGAACATCCAGTTCTTTTAACCGAAGCCCCACTTAACCCAAAGGCCAATCGTGAAAAAATGACACAAATCATGTTTGAAACATTTAACTCACCTGGTGAGTTTTATTATCATCATCATCACTAGTATTAAATAATAATTACTTAAACTGTTTTTGTTTACAGCTATGTATGTCGCTATCCAAGCCGTACTTTCACTCTATGCTAGCGGTCGTACCACTGGTATTGTTCTTGACTCAGGTGATGGTGTCACACACGACGTACCAATCTATGAAGGTAAACAAAAAACACATACATACATTCATGTTTATATAATTGTTAATACTTTATTTCTATTTTGTAGGTTATGCTCTCCCTCATGCTATCCTCCGTCTTGATTTAGCTGGTCGTGATTTGACTGATTATTTAATGAAGATTCTTACTGAACGTGGTTATTCATTTGTCACAACTGCTGAACGTGAAATTGTTCGTGACATCAAAGAAAAATTGTGCTATGTTGCACTTGACTTTGAACAAGAAATGGCAACAGCTGCATCAACATCGTCACTCGAAAAGAGCTACGAATTACCTGATGGTCAAGTTATTACCATTGGTAACGAACGTTTCCGTTGCCCAGAGTCACTCTTTCAACCATCATTTTTGGTATGACGTTTTTTTTTTCAAAATGATTCTTTGTTTTTTACGAATATGTTTTTCTATCTATAATCTAGGGTATGGAAGTTGCTGGTATTCATGAAACTACATTCAACTCAATCATGAAATGTGACATTGATATTCGTAAAGATTTATATGCTAACACTGTCTTATCAGGAGGTAAAATTTATATTGATTATCTATGTTATTTTTACAAATAAAAAAAAACTTTATCATTTTTATTTAGGTACCTCAATGTACCCTGGTATTGCTGATCGTATGCAAAAAGAAATTACTGCTTTGGCTCCATCAACCATGAAGATCAAGATCATTGCTCCACCTGAACGTAAATATTCAGTCTGGATTGGTGGTTCAATCTTAGCTTCACTCTCAACCTTTCAACAAATGTGGATCTCAAAACAAGAATATGATGAAGCTGGTCCATCAATTGTTCACCGTAAATGCTTTTAAACTAAAAACAAATTCATCAAACAGCATAGACACACACATAGAGTTTTTTATTTCTTATTTCTTTTTTTTCTCTTCTTTCATAAGCTGATTTTATGGTGCTAAGTATATGTGCTCTACTTCTTCTCTTCTTTTGAAATAAACCTTTGCTCATATGCATATGAAATTTGTTCTTTTATTTTAATTTATGGCGCTTGAAAGATGAAAATTAGAAATAGAGAAAAAATAACATGAAAATGAATAATAACAATTGGATGTTAGGTATTGTTAATCGACCATATAAATTGCAACGTTGTGATACCGATGATAAACGTCATTTACTTGTGTCTGGTGATCTTATCGAATATGTTCGAGGACCTTTTTCACATTGGGCTGTCTATCTTGGTAATAATCAAATCGCACATTTACCAGGACCATCGAATGTTTTTGCTAATTTTCAGGTTGAAAAGTTGCATTCATTATTCATGAATCTAGTACAGATATATATTTATATATGTATATATATATAGATTATCCAAACTATCTGGCGAATATTATCGGGTCATTGGATTGAACAAATGCAAATTGAAATATGTGATTTTAATGGTCTTCTTTCATCATCAATTGCTTATATAAATAATAGTAAAGATTGTATATTTCATCCGTTGCCTAGAGATGAAATTCTTCGACGAGCTCATAGTGCACTCGGGTTTAGTGGTTATGATTTAATGTTGAATAATTGTGAACATTTTGCTCACTGGTGTCGGTTAGTTAATATTTATGTTATTTTTAATAATTATTCATAATATGAATTTTTATATATTTCAAGATATGGAATTGCTATAAGTGATCAAGTATTTAGTTTTCTTTCATTAACATCAAGTATTGGTCTTATGATGTGTTTTGCTCCATGGACAAAATTCGTTTCTAAATTTCAAGTTTCTATTGCAAGTGGTATTCTTCTTGGTACTGCTCTATTTGCTTCGACTATGTATCGAAGTTAACAAGAAACTTATAATTAATTAGTACATTTCATATTATCTTCATTTTTTATGTTTGATTTATAGAATTCATTATATTCAAAAAATAATCTATTAAAAAATTTCATCAATAAAATAACCATGACATGCTGCTTTTTTTGATCTGAATTTTTCAAACAAATGTGTTTAAAGAAAAGAAAATGAAATGAATAGAAAACAAAATCAGATACACACACTGCCACTTAAAAAAAAAATAAGTCTGTTGTATCACGACGTGCACATATTCATTAAATTAAATTCATCGGTGACTTTATCGTTTAACTCCATACATCTTGTGAATATCGTCCTTTTTGTGTTAGCTCTTTAATGAATGTACCTGCTTTTTCTGATGTCATATTACCATATGTTTGAGCAATATCTATTAATATAGAATGCACATCTCTAGCCATATTTTTAGCATCACTAATTTAAATAGAATAAAATAAAGGATAAATTTCATTTAAAATTTCTTTTACCCGCAAACATATATTGAAGCATTATCTTCTTTAATCAATTTCCATATTCTTTGTCCGTGATCTTTTAATAAATGTGTTACATAAATTTTTTCTTCTTGATCACGTGAAAAAGCTACATGTAATTCAAGTACGTTTTCATTGATAAAATAATTTAATTCTTCTTCATATAAATAATCTTCAGCTCGATTTCGACAACCATAATAAAGAATTGTTTCACCAACTGGTTTGCCTTGAGTTTTATAATAATGACGTTCTTGTATAAATCCACGAAATGGTGCTAAACCCGTTCCAGGACCTATAGAAAAATTTGAGAAAAAAAGTCACAAAATAATAATTAATTGAACCAAAAGAAAATTTTTTTTATTTTCATACCAATCATAATAACTGGTATTTGAAATTTAAATGGTAAACGAAATGTTGATTTACGTATATAAATTGGAAACCGACCAGGTACATGACAATGATTTTCTTCATTATGTGGAGCAAAACCTAATGCTTGATGTCGAATATATAATTCTTTAAAACAATTTGTTGCAACGCCTTTTGCAATACGTTTTGTTGGTGTTTCAAAATGAACAATAACGGCTGTTATATGAACACATGTTGGATGAACTCTTGGTGATGATGATATTGAATAATAACGTGGATGTAAACGTGGTAATAATTCACAAAGATGATCAAGGGGAGGTTTTAATGATGGTAAATCTTCAAGAATAGCAATTATTGAACGACAACTGTCAAGAACCCATTCTTTATATTTAATCTATTTCAATTAATATATATATATATAAATAGAAAAGAAAAACTATCAAGAGTAAACTCTTTTTTCTTACTTTTCCTTCTTCACTATATGAACCCATTAATGTTAATAGAGCTTTTTCATTTTCATCTGTTGCATATTGTGCTATTTCTTTAAGTATTTGTGTATTTGGCATACTTGTTAAATCTAAATAATATGTTAATGCCGTACGATAACTGCATGGACATGGAAATGGATTTTTCTTTTGGGCATCCTCTATTAAAAAGAAAAAGAAAATGTAGAAATTTCTATAAAGAAAACGATAGTTGTGAACAATTACCATCGACGTTAACAAGTGAAATAACTTCATCGAGATTAACATTGAGTAATTCACCAATACGATTAACTAAAGAATCATCATTTGATGGAAATACAGCAACATGATCACCGGCTTCATATCTAATTTTAAAAAAATTCACTTTGATGTTAAGCTCAAAAAGATAAATGTATGCTATATATCTTTTACTTTATACGTGTATTTGATATATCCAATTCTAGATGCAAACAAGAACGAGCACAACCATTTTGAAATAATTCACGACTACCAACAACTGGTGCTAAATATGGATTACGAATATCAAATGGTCTATTACAAAATAACATAATTTTCTTTCGTTTTTTTTCTCAAGTAAACATACGGTTTTTGTCTTTCATATGATTTCAATCGACCAATTTCACCAGTAAAAACAGTTTCAGGTGGAAATGGTCCTTGAACAATTTTATATTGTTTCATTCTAATGAAGATATATGCATACATAAGTATTAGAATTGAAAAAGAAATGAAAATAAATCATACGAGCTTCCATCAGAATTTATAACAAGCTCATATTTTTGACAAACACTTTGCCAAAATACAGTTGCCCATGCCATAAAATCATCTTCAATACTAAAACAAATAATTAATATATAAAATTTAATAAAAATTTTTCATACATACTTTCCATCATCATCACCAAGACCTAATTCACATACACGAACACCACCCAATTCAGTCAAACGTTTATCAACATATTTTCCGACAGCATTATAATGTTCATATGTTTTATTACCAAGACCGAATACCTTAAAATAAAAACAAAATAATTTTTCTTTTCTACATATTTCTAGGTAAATCAATATTACAGCATAATGTAAATTATTCAAATCTCGTCCATCTTCACGCAACCATTCATAAAATTCTTGAGCATTATCTGTTGGATCACCTTCACCATATGTTGCCAAACAAAATAAAGCTAAATGTTTATCAATCGTTATTAAACGTTGTAATTCTTCCTAATTATAAAAAAAACTAACTTATTATAAAGAATCATATATGAAAATTTTCAATAACAAACCATGTCACATTCTTCTGGATCACAAACAGCTGCAGATATGCCATAACGTTTAGCTTGTTTAGCAATACGTTGTGCGAAATCTTCTGCTGTACCCGTTTGTGAACCATAAAACACAACCATTTGTTTATTAGAGTGTAACATACGATCCACAAAACTACCCTCGTGAGTTGTTCCTGCTGCTTTTCCAGCGCCATTATCTCTATCAAATGTAAATAATAAAAATTCCAAAACAAAATAAAATGTTCAAACTTACATTTTAAAGTTTCTTAACGTAACGTTTACATCGTTTAATTTAGAGGAGGAAGGTGCACGTGGCTTGAGCCAAAACCAATAGGCTCCTATTAATGTTATTATTAATAAAATTATAGAAGTAGCTATGTCAAAGGATGTGAATACGAAGGAGAATAATTCCATGCTCAGGCTTAAGGAAAATCTGTAAAAAAAAAAAAAAAAAGATAATAAATCATGTAAACATATGTATTTATATATATTTTTGCCTCAACCTTTGGTAAAAAAACACGTTTATTATCATAACAAAAAACAGAAATGTGTCATTGTGCACACCTTCCACGTCGATAAATACCCATACTTTTCGTTCGTTCTTTTTTCCCTTTATCAGTGTGTAGTACTAGTGCGCACTAAAATTTCTATTTGACAGTCTTATTTATAATTCTTCTTTTTTTTTTTCATTACGGTAATTGATTGACAATAAACAAAAATTATCTGTCGAAATGAGATTTCACATACATGCATAAAAACTTCGAGAAAAAACCAAAACCGATTATCAGAATAAAGTATTGAGAAAATATAATAATAGATTTTTAATAAACAATTGACCATATAGTTGATTTTTCACATGAAATACCTTCATGATCACCACATAATCGATTAAAAGTAAAATCTTTTTCAAAACCAAATATTTCTCTATCTTCTTGTATTCGAAAACTAAATGTTGATTCATAACTACCAATAAAATAATGTGCATGTGCACATATCCATTGATCAACAATGGCTTTACCGCCATCTAATATTTTCTCTAAAATTGTTTCATTTGGTCTATAAGTATATATTTGATTGGTTGATATATTACATATACGATAAGCATGCTGACGAAGTATATTAATTTCATTTTCATTGGTATCTGTTGCAATAAAAACAACTGACAGATTTAAACGATTTAGATGATAACACACTTGTCGAGCAGCATGCTCAAGAGATGGAACATGTCCTGGTCGTGCTTTAACATAGTCAAGACGACGAAGATGAATACCAAGATAAGGACCACCAATTGCATGACCATGATGACGTTTCATTTTAGTCCAATCATCAATAAGTACAGTACGATCATTTACATCCGTTGAATTTAAATAATCAGCACGAAAACGATTGCCTGAAAAAAAGAGTAATTAATATAGAAAAAAAACTTCTAGCATAATTCCGGCGGGATTAAAACATGAAACACAATGAAGCTGCTCTTGCTAATCATGGGAAGATTGTTTCATTTCATCTATTTCAGCGTACATTTCTTCATCATTCTTCTATTTGATCCTCCTCAAATTCAGGAAGAAACTATTTCATATTTTATAATGACACACTATTGATAGACATTCTTTGATCGTATATCAACAATGTCTGTTGCAGTTCGTGCTATATACTTCAATACTCCTTTTAGCTTCGCTTTTCACAACATTTTTCATGTCTTTCAAAAGAGAAAAAGCTTGTTAGCGCAGCTCCTTTGAGGAGTTAAAATATGGAATTGATGTGGGTTTTTAGTCTCAGTATACTAAAATAAAATATGTAAAATAAAAAACCTTTCGAAGACTATAGTTATTTTTCAAGATAATTGATCATGCGAAAAACAATCTGTCTGATTTAATTCTGCATTTTGAAGTGAACTTTTTTACTGACGCTATATTTCTTGTTTGTCTTGTTGCTTATTGCTCGTTATTTGTTTCTTTTTTGTGCTTCTTTTTTTTTAATTGTACATTATTATTATGATTATTATTTTAACTATTGATTTAACTGGCAAATAAGCGTGTTGTCCATATTCATTAGCTAAACAACAGGTCTCACCGTGCTATTGCATATCTCGATTACTTCACGCTTTATTATGTTGATCATATGACTACTGTCAAAGCAATAGATTAACACTGATCATCATGGACATCTTAAATTTAAATTTTTATTTGTGTGAAGATCAAAAACTGTACTTTTTAAAACATTCAGAAACGTATTTCAACCATTCAATTTTTAACGAAGACTTTGGAATGTTCTAGAACATTCTAAGTGTTGCCATTAATGCTGTTAAAGGCTTTTTTTTGTTCCTAAAGAACTCTACGAATCATGTAGGATACCGATTGTATCCGATGGCTATAGAAGCATAATCAATGACCAACTCGAATACGAGAGCAAAGCAGCAAACTTCTAGAGATCTGCTATTTTGTTTGAAAATATATGTTAATTCCACAAAATAACATCATGCTCACCAAGATCTATTAAGTGTGTTGCATATCTCATACTACGTCTTGCTCGCCAATAATTATAACCACCATAATCTACATGTAATAATGTTTCAGCTCGATCAAACATAATACTTTTTGTTAAATGTTTATCATCTGAATCTTGTGGCCATGTTATATTTTTAAGTAAATAATCTGCAAGTACAGTAATAAAACCTTGAGCTGATAGACATTGAAATTGTTTGGCACGTACACGATTTTCATAGCCAAAAAACCATCCATAGTAATAATTATCATCGTTTTTTTTATACATAGCTTCTTCATTACATTTACGTATTTCTAATTTTTCTTCGAAATGTTCTCCCCATCCTTCACTAAAATGTTGTAATGTATAAACATATGGAATAGTTATCATGGAAGTTGATGATGATGATGATAAATGAAGAATATCTTCAAATTCAATAACAGGTATAAAACGTGAAAGACTTGTTATATCAAAAAAATTTGACCATTTTAATTGAGTCCGTTGAAGATTATAAGAAAACCAATGATAAAGAGGACCCCACGGTGGAAGAACAAGTATCCAATTTGATTCTGATGATGTACGTTCACGAAGTGTATGTATAAGATTAGCCATTCTTATATAAACATCTCGACGTAAATTAAAACCTTCTCCATGATTAACATCATACAACAAATAATATGTCGAAGATGTTAATGATGAACAAGAATCTTTTGTACATTGTTCATTATTTTTATCAATCAATGAATAACAAGATTGAAAAATAAGCAAAAATACAACAAACAACATTCAGTCTGAAATATAAATATGTCTTCTTTGCTTTTCTTTTGTGTTTATCTTTTTTTTTGACTCAAATGATAAAGCTTATCGTTTATTAATAAATGAGATTAAAACTCCAACAAAACAAACAAACAAGGATTGCACACACGGGATTCGTATTCTTTTATCGTTTGCTGTTTTTTGTAATTAATTATTAAAAAGACTTGAAAATATGACTAGTAATGTTTCGTACTTTTATATTGTTGCCAACTACATAATAAAACATTCGCCATGTATAAACTAAATGCATGAATTTGCACAGTTATTACTAAAAATATATACCATAGTACTAATAATGGAAAACCAAGAAATTTTTGTGGTTCAATTTCATCTAATTTATGACTAGTTTTTAATTTTTTAAATGTAAATAATTCACTTAAATTAAGTATAATTGTTGTCACTATTGTACCTAAACCAAATAGAAGTGTACCACGAAAACAAATTCTCATTAAAAAAACACGATTTTTATTTAATGATAATAGACCACATATTGATGGTAAAACACTGTTGAGCCATATATATTCCCATAAATGAGGACGTGGTACATCTAGTATTGCTATTAGAGGTATATGATATGTTAGAATATGAATAAAAACAAGAAAAGCTAATAGAAAATGAAAATAGATTAATATACGAAGACGAGATTTTGTTTCTGCTATAACATGATACTGTGAAGTCATAGATTCACGATGTGGATAATCAGTACCAGCAAGATGTTGTGAACCAGGAGTAGACATCATCTGAAAAAAAAAATTTGTTTTTGTTTTTGTTCTTTTGATTTTGTAATTAACACTAATCAGCACAAAAAAACAAACAGAAAGCTATCACACATAATGTTTGAATACAGCAACAGCAAAGAAAAAAAAAAGAAGAAAAGTTAAATTCGTTTTGTTTCAAAATGTCGTGCATCATTCGTTTCAGTCGTTTTTATATCAAATGACATTCCATCACCAATCGGTGGTGATGATATTAATGGTGAAAATAACATCAAATACCATTGTTTACCAAAAACAACTTCGAAATTTGTTTGTAAGTTTTTTTGACCACTATATATATGAATATTTTTACCATATTCATGCCATGTTTGTCCATTAACAATAAGATATATTTGTTGAATAATTAAAAATAATACATAAAGACTTAATACAATTGATGTTGAACAAATAAATGAAAGTAAAAGAGAAAAATGATCAAGAATACGAAATAACCATGCACCGAATGGAAAAAGACATGCTATAATAAATAATCAAATAATGAATTGATAAACATCCTAATATTAAAAAACATCTATGAAAACTACAAAATATTCCCATCTGCTGTCTGGAATATTCTTATGAGAAACTCTCATGATTTCTTTTGCATGAGGAAATATATATAAGTAATCTATAAATAGGTTACATCCTTGTTAAGAAGAATAACATATAATTTGTTTTTCTTTTCTTTTCTTTCTTTTTCTTTTGTGAGCACTTCCGTCTCAGCTTAGTTTTAGCTCATCTTTTATATAATTAAAGATAATAAATACAAAATTTAACTTACCAACAATAACACGCCATGAAAATGTTCCAACAAGTTCATAGGTATAATCTACATGAAGAATATTACAGTAGAATAAACCAATCTTAAATTAAGAATAAAAAACAAAAATTTTAATTTTATTTTACGCATATATATATATATATATACAGTTTTTTGCAAAAAAAAACTTGGAACAAACATTTAGCTTATATTAGCGCCTGAGTTAACCGTCTTGAAAAAAATGTTTCGTTATTTCCTAAACAATAGTTCATAGCTTAACAACATTCCGTTCAGTATTGTGTTCTCTCTTCTTTTACTTCAAAAACTTAATTGCATCTTTTTTTATGCGATTTACCAAACTAATTACAACTTATTTTTTCATATGAGTTCATTTTTAGTTTGTAAAAAGTCTTCAGTTTACTAGTATGTTTTAATTTTCTTTTCCCGACTCTATGTTTCACACATTCCAAATATTTTCAATGAGATTAATATCCGAGTTGTTGAGTGATCAGTCCAAAATATGAGAAATAGTAGTGACGACGAGTATTTCTCATATTTTAGACTGGTCGTCAATCAGCACGAATTCGAATGGAACCGAAAATGATTGACATACTATGGAACAATTAAGAGACATTAGTTTGGTGACTTTTCAGTCGATTCATCGATCACGACTTTGTAATTTCACGTAATGAACTGATCTCGTGCTCGACTGTATGTAGTATCAAGCGTACGGTTATCCATAATTTATCCGTTCGATACTTTAAAGAACTTTGGTAGCTGAGCTGTCTCAACTGATAAGTAATTGTAGGCAAAGGTGTGTTTGTAGCCTGATAGTTTTTTCTAGCTGAATGAATTTCCTGGCTTCAATAATATAATAGAGAAATATGCTATTTTTTCGTATTGTTTGGCTTTACCATATCGAACTCTTCTCTAATAATGAAAAAACATAAATCGATAAAGTAAATAAATATGTTAAGTAGATAACCTACTAAATATAAATCTACGATAACAACAAAAGATGCCCTCCAAAAAAGCTAGGAAATATTAAATCTTTGTTTTGACTAATTGTTTCAAGTTTTTTTGCAAACCACTGTATATATGTATATATATCTATTAATTTTACCCAAGTCCATATAAGAAAACACATATAATAACGAATATTTCTAAAACCAATACATCTACCAAGAAATGAACAATGATGATCACGTTTTAAAATACATTTTTTACATAAATGACAATGTTGAGAACGTGGTGGAACATTAACTTCACATTGATAACAATAATGCCAATTACAATATTGAAAAATCATATCCTGTTGTGTATTTGTTGTTTTAACAGTTGGTGGTGGTAATAAAACAGGACATATAATTGTATCTATTGATGTATCAGTAGCCATACATAAAAATAAATTTCCAACTAAATTAAAAATAACATAAAGACCAAATATAAGATGACAAACTTCTTTATACGTAAATATATTATTATAAATAGCTGGTAAGATAACATATAATTCAAATGTAACATATATACTAATAAGAGCGATGACAAAAAATATTGGTATTAATTCACCACGTTCTTTTGGTATTAATAATTTTATTTTACGATTAACCATTTTTATATTAGTTCTAAAAATAAAGTTAAAAATTACATATACATTAAAAGAATACTTTCTTAAATAAATATTGAGATTTATTCGGATAGATTTATACTCTTTTCTTTTAGGCCTAAGTAATTTTCTACGAAATATCAAAAGGACTAAGATCGAAATCAAAGGTAAAATTTAAGTTGATTGGAACTAAAATTAGAACAATTTATGTCGTTCATCTTATAAAACATCCAATGAGGAGAATAGATGTTTTTAAGTAATAAACAATTGTAAAAGAATAATTTTAAACGTTTATATTGACCCAATTTTTATTATATCTTTTTTTTTTTCATAGAACGAAATCTTTCTCTGATGGGAACTAGTTTCTTTTTTTTATCTTAATCAGGACGAACAATACTCGTGTTTCTTTCATATCGATTACAAGTCCAAGAAACAATTCAGATAATAACTTTTCATTACTATGTTAAATAAAAAACATAAAATCAAATAATAATAGTCCATCATCAATATGGTCAATTATTTTAATGTTTTCTTGTATATGCAAACAAAACAAACGACAACAACCATGATGATGATGATATTTCATATACATAAAAGGAAAAGAATCGACAAAAATACATGTAGAAAAGAGACCAAATGAGACATTTGATAATGATGTTAATATATAGAAAGGGTACGGTTTGAATCTGTATTAGATAGAAGAGGAAAATAAACAATTTACACACACAAATAAACAAATACACGCATACGAATAGGGGAAATATCGATCAAAAAAAAAGACGAAAAAAAAAAGAGCGAAAGATTTCGGATATACGTTTACACAAACAAGAAAAAAAAAGAAAGAAAATGCTATGAATGTTATGATGATCTAAAAATAAAAATGGCCGTTGTCATCGTTTTTTTTTTCTCTTAAATCTCACTATATATTTAAATAATAAATTTTTTATGTTCTTTTTTTTTTTTGTTTTATTTTTCGTCTAATTGTTATTTGTCGAATGTGTTGGTAAACAAAAATCTTGAGCATTAGGATCGAGGTTAGATGTAGCATTTTGTAATGGCGGTGGTGTAACAGCAGTTGGCGGATAAAACATAGTTGTTGAACATGATGGAGTCATTGTTGTTGTTGGATTATTATTTGTATCAATTAATTGATGTGTTGGTGATGAATGTCCAGATGATGTTGAACAATGTGAATGAGGATGACCATTAAATATACAATTATTTGCTTGATGTTGAGATTGTAATGCAATAATAAGTTCACGTTCTTTTTCTCGAATGGCACCTAACGAAGAAAAAAAAAATTTTCATTTTTTGTTTTTTTAATTTTATTATTAAGTTCATCTTTTGCTTCAGATAGCGGTTTCAGAAGAGCTACTTTTCTGATATACTTATAGTATAGTCAGTGCAGCCTGTCACGCTGGTCTCAGACTAATCGAGTTTGAATCAGAAATTAATCTCTTAACTGAATCCGAAAATTTTGAAATGGTAGAGGCGCTTCAGTCGTCTGAGAAATGTATAGAGTGCGCTAATCATCAAAGAGAGTTCGATTTGACTTGGTCTAGGTCCAACAAATTTGGACCTGATGAACTCTAAAGGTCAAATCTATATGAGGATACTGAGTGTGGTTTAGAGTAATTGAAGTCATTCGAGTAACCATGTGACAAAAAAAATAGGAATTGAACAATACAAAAAGCACAATGTTTTTTCTTTCACAAGAATATTGATTGAAAAAAGAAATCAGTTGATCTCCCATAGTATTGAAATAAAAAAGAAAGCTGTTAATACAAGCCCTATGGGATTGAAATTTGAAACAATATTTAGCTAGTGTTATTAAGCATATGGAGATTGTTTTATTTTATCTGCTTTAGGACATATTTCTTTCTCGTCCTTGTATTTAATCATCCAGAAATGCAGTAAGGAAATAATTTATACATTATAACGAGACGTTATTAATATACATTCTGTAATTGTACATCAAGGTCTGTCACGGTCTGTGACGTTCCAATGGTTATGATAGTCACAGATCTATGATGAATCGTTTCTAATGTGCTAGTTATTGTCTGTATTGAGTATGACACGTCTGCAGGAAAAATCCAGATTTCTATCTCTATATTTTAACACTTCATGTGAATTATGTTTCATAAAAGGAAGAATTGAACATATGAAAACTAATTTTTAAATAATATATATGTTTTTAACATATATTTTTAAACGAACACTTATTTTTCTTTTAGGAGTTGTATAACTACGAAAGACATTTTATTCATATGAAATATTATTTTAATGTTTCACGTGATAAGATTTATGAGCAAGATGAACTCTATCCTTGATTGTACTCTGTTTATCCTATATTAGTAATATGATTCATTTTTGGCTTATCATCTATATTTCGGCTTATTCATCAATCGATATCATTCAACAAAGTCCAAAGATCTCTACTTGCTTATCAGCGAGAATATTTTGTTTAAAAAATTTCAATTTTTTTTTTGTCAAAATTATCACTAATTATATGTCCAATAATTTCGAAACGAAGCGACGAAACAAATTGTTTGTTTTTACTTGAGAATATGTTCACAGGACGGAAAAGGTAAAGTCTTCACTTGTTTCTCTTTCTTACATTGCTATTTTTTAGCAGTTGATAGCTTATGAAGTTAACTATAAAATATATTTTTAACGTTTTGAAAAATCTCTGTATCATTTAATTTTTGTTATCGATCTATCAAATTATCACTACAGTGGTCAGTATGATAGAAATGATTAATGAATACAAACCGTTGGCTATTTCAAGTTGTCGTTTAACTTCACCAAGTGCAGAAAAAAGATCAAGTTTAATTCGAGTTTCAGCACTAAGACTATCTTGTAATTGAGCATTTCGTTCTCTTAATTGTGTTAAATGTTGATAAAGCACTTCAGTATCCGCTTGAGATTCACGATATTTAAGTGCCTAAAAAAAAACCAATAAAAATTCATTTAGTTTTTCTTTTTTTTCTTAAATCAAACGATTTATTATTCTAGTAATAGATCATGACGAACTATGAATTATAAATAACTTCTTTTCAGCTTTGGTTTCTTTTTTAACACGCAAACTTTGAAAATAATTAATAAAAATTCTATTTTTTGTTTTATATTATACTATGAAAATATTGTCATATTAATAATTTTCATATATAATTTATGTATGGTTTTTTTTTAATGGTTTCTTTTAATATAAAGATTCAAATATAGATGAATTCATCAAAGAGTACATAGAAATATTTTAAAATAGAAATACACAATTCTAATTCGAACTTATTAATAGTAACAATGACGATTCTATGTATATTTAAATAGTAGTTTTTTTTTTGATTTATTTGCTTACTTTTATTTCATTGTCAAGTATTTTAATTCGTTCGTCTTTGTCATTAATTAATTTACGTATTTCGCGTGTTTCATTCTCGAAATCACGTTTTCGCTTAATACATTGTTCTGTACATTCACTTCTATTATTAAAAAACAAAAAAACAAAAAAAAAACAGATTTAGTAAATATGAAAAATATAATAAAAACAAAACAAACTTTGCTGGTGTTAAACTTAATTTTGTTAGATCATCTTGAAGTTTTTTAGTTAAAGTTTTTTCGGTTTTTATTTGTGATTCTAAACGTTGTTTATTTTGTCGTTCCTCATTCAAATTTCGTTCAAAATCAGTTAGACGTTGTTTATCACGTTGTCGTTGAGTATTAACAGAATCATATCTATAAAATAAAAATAAAAATAAAATAATAACTTTATTTATTATAATAATAATATTAATAACAAACTTTGCTTTTAAATCATTATTTTCTGCACGTAAATCTTCAAGATCTTTTCGAAGATTTTTTAAATCAGTTACTTGTGTACGTAATTGTATTTCTGAATATTTATGTTTTTCAAGTGTTTGATTTAGTCGTTGTACATCAGCTTCTAATTTACTAATTTGAAGACTAAAAATAATTAAAAAGTAAAATATTTCAATTTATTAAGTAGAATAATGATTAGAGATGTGGGAAATCAAATTTTTTGAGCAGGACTGTACAAATTCTTTTTTAATGGTTCCGATCTCGATTTAGAGAAAATTTTTTCCACAATTTATTCGTATCACATCTAAAATAATTCTTCATTTTTTTTAATTTATTTAGTTGATGAGTAGCATTTATTTTTTGAGTCATCTCTCTTGAATTATGAGATAATTTGCTTATAACTAAAGAATATTTTACTATAAACTTGAGCTACGGTATTGACAACTTTTTTCATGTGATCTCATACATCTCTAGCCACGACTATATCTATCCATTATTCAGACATTCCAATGCTAGATGAATATCTTGAAAAGACTTCAAGCACTTAGCTTATTGCTTGAACAATACTACGTTTTTTAACGTAGCCTTTGAGGGTATTCCTCACTTTCGTGACCTAAAATCCTTGTTTTTTGTGATCATTAGATAATCTGAGGTATTTTCTATCTACTGACTATATTTCGTGATCTGAAAATTGTCTTTAAACATTAAAAAATTTGAGAAGAATTCAAAATAATAAAAAATATAAATTGTTTCGCATTTTCATATAAAATAATGCAAATACGCCCACGTTTCTTCGATCAAATGAATCCAGACGATCCACAGCTTTTTTTACATATACGACACACTATTTGGAATGGGTATTTTTTTCCTAGTTTCAACAAATATTGTTGTGTTAATTTTTCATAGCTCTTATAAGAAGAATCTCTATTCTAAACTATATAAGTTTTATAGCATACTTTCGATATTTTGGTTTTTATATTTGAAGGACAAAAAAATAAAAAGATACCAACTCCAAACAGCGTCTACTCAAGGTAAAGTTTTTTTTTTTCGAAGAAAACCACAGTTTTAATGAGCTGTCAAAGACAGAACGTTTATGCGCATCTACACACATCAGTCAAAACAGCTGTTTTATCAGAAAATGTTTTTCATTGGTGGGTAATGCTCGAAGAAAAGCGTCAACTTGATTGAACATAACATCTGAGAGAAACGAAGAGACTCTTTTTTTTTTAACCATTGTGAGCTCAACTTCTGATAGAAGACAACATTCAAATACTTTGAGTCTATCACAACTTTTGCTCTACTTCTCAAGGTCTACATGTCCCTCTAGTAGAAACATCAGGAAAACTATTTTTCAAACTTTGATGAGAAAAACCTTGCACGGAGACAAGTATTAGTGATGATGATTTATGATGAAAGTTTCCTATCTTTTGATTTTCTTCGACCCTGAATATAGAATATTGAATCTACAGATATAGATAAGCGATGTAAAAAATATACTTTTACCATATAATATTCTCGTTAAGACCTATCTTCATGCAAAGTTTTAAATCAAAATTCGGAAATCAATATTCATAGTGTTTCTAAGGAATATTAGCATAAATTTCGATGTGTAACAGGACCAGATGAGCTAGTCACGTCTGAGAAACTTTCAAGTTGTCACTCGAAAATTGTCTGCCAGATACACTATCTCCCACCGTCTGTCAATTTTTAGTTTCATTTCATTTCTTAAAACCATCGAAAGTCCTTGAGACTAGGGCATCAAGTTCAAGAATACTGTAAAAATGCAGCATCTCCAAAGTAATAAACTAAGAGTTCGAAGCTTTTTTTTTTCAAAGGATTCATTGTTTATTGGGATCTATACGATGCATAGAATGTCAACTGAAAAGTTGAGGGATTTCCTGCATAAGATTGGCAATGCATTATAATACATGTATATATCTTTATATGTATTTTAAGATTGACTTACTTTTTTTCAATGTCGGAATTTTCAATTGAAGAAGTTGCTCCAAAACCATTAACATATGAAGCAGATGAATCACGTGATACTGTATGAACTTGTTCTTGTTTTTTTGATTGTCGTCGACTTTGTGTATTAGTCGTTGTTTGTTGTTGTATATTTGAAGATTTTTGTGACTGTTTTTTCTGCTGTTGATTTGTTGTATTAAGATTTGATAATGATGAATTTTGTTTTTGTTGTTTATATGATAATGAACCATCATCATGTCCATTACTTGTTGTCATTGTTTGGGCTTTATTATTACGTGTCGTTGTCGTTGTTGTCTGTACAAGTGGATTTGAATTCGATGAAGATAATCCATCAGAATTATTTATTGTTGAACTTATTTTAGATGAACGTTTTGTAACTGTACAAAATGACGATTGTGTCTGGGAATTATTAACTGTTGAATTATTTGATAATGAAGTTGAACTATAATTTGTAACAATCGTTGATGGAGATGATGGATAAGTTCCATCACTATGTGTTTGTGATACATCATCATAATTTTCAGAGAATGTACCTATTGAAAATAAAAACAAAAGTTCAGTTTAGTTTTCTTAAACAAAGAAAAAAAAAACACGGAATTTCAAACGAACCCTTTTCTCTACTCAATCGTTCTTTTTCTGCTTCTTGTTGAATTTCAACTGGTAATGCTTGATTGATTAACTGAGAATAAAATTCATTTGTTTTACGTACTTCACGTTGTTTTCTCTATTTAATTAAAATGTAAATAAAATTTTCTAAAAAATAAACAATAAAATCATTCTTACTAGTCGCCATTTATAAGCAAGATAAGTTTTAAAACCAAAACCTAATGTGACCATTGGATAGCCAATACTATACAACGGAGAAATAAATAATTTATAGGAATAAGAAAATATAAATAAATACCAATGAGCTGCAAACGGTCGACAAAGATCAATAGTTTTGATTTCACGTAATCGTACTGATGCTTCTAGCCAAACGAAGAGTACCCAGAGAACAACCGTACCAAGACAAATTCCACGTTCTAATAACATATAATAGTCTTTAAAGTTTTTATTTGTTTGTTAAAATGTTACCTGTTTGCCAAACATATTGAATCCAAACATAACTACTTGCAGCAAAGAACAGCCATTGAATAGGCAATAATATATAACAAATGAGATCGGTTACGAATGCAATAAGTACAAAGAATATTGAGAAAAGCTAAGAAAATTTATAATATTTTCTTATTTCAATTAATAATAAATTTCAACTAACCAATCCTTGATATTTAAATGAATCACAAATACTTCGTAAAACAAGCCAAAATGGCCAAAGAAATTCGAAGCGAAATTCAAGCAAAAAATCAGCTGCCATGATAATACCCCATATACAAATAAATTTAAGATACATTAAAGCACTAAATATATAAAGAATATTTGATTTTAATGATATAAAATCTTTTTATTTATTTATTTATTTATTTTTGTATCATTACCTTCCATAAATACCCTCAGTTAGACGGGGACGTCGTGTAGACTTGCGTACTTTGACACTGTCGAAATTTGTCCTTCGTTTCATTATTGTGATCAAACACAATAAATAATATTGTCATAGACAAAACTAAAAATAACAACAAATATTTTTTTTTTCTATTGAACAGTTACTACATAACACAATAACAATTTTGAGAAACGCAGAAGGATGGAAAGATGGATTACAACAGAACAGAATGAAGAAGCAAAAGCAGACATAAACATGAGTTCTATGGCTCTATATTTTGACGAGCGAGAGAGAGCGCTTAATAATTAGTCGTAGATGTCACTAATTAACAGATAATAAATATTTAGCAGAAAATCAATTAATTATTAAAATAATTTTAATGAACACTTTCAATAATTAGAATATCTTGCAATGTAATAAAAAAAAATATGTTCTTTATTAAATGCAAAATGAAATTTCATCAAATTCTATTTTAGTTTTTGTTGCAGTAGAAAGAAGTAATTTACTTCACAAGCACTTCAAACGCCTAACAACCTGAATTGTTTTTACTTTGTATTTCTTCTGTTTATTTTCTGACTCATAAAAAGAAGAAATTTTGACAATAAGAAAAAAAACATATATATATATGTATCCATTAAAAGTTTCGTAAAATATATGTTGAAAGAAAGGTAACATGAATCCATTACTTTAATATTCCAATGACGCATATTTAATACATGAAAAAAAAAAGACAACACATTATATCAAGTATAATAGAAAAAATTATTTAAATGTCTTCAAAGAGATTCTTAACAAAAAAAGTATTCATCCTATTATTTTTTCTTTTTGTTTCTCAAAAAAGAAAAAGAAATGTGTTCATTTATTATTAGAATACAATTGTCGCAAAAGAAATCAGTTTTTTTTTAATGGATGCACACTAGGCAATTTCTATAGAATACGTGCACATGGTTGATTTTCTGTCAAAAACGCTGATTGTTTTTCATAGAAATATTAATTTCAAGTATTCAACAACAATAATGAACTTTGTAAAAGAATATTTTCGACGAAGAATGCGTGAAAAGAATCCTTATCGTAATTGTTTGTCAGTAAAAAATTTATTTTAAAAATTAACAAATGTCATATCATTCAATGTAGTTTTTCATGTTCATTTCGAATATGTCCTTATTTTTCTCTTAAAGTACTTCTCAGACAAGAGAATGCAGAAAATCTTTAAAGAAAAAATTTATTTTAGAAAACTTGTTTCTTACGTTAGTTGTGAAAATATTCTTTGGAAAAAGATACTCTTCTCTAAGATGGCAGAAATTTGGACATTTTTTGAGCCTAGGATTTTTCCAAATGTTGATATTTAACTAGAATATTTTCTTTTCAATCAAAAAGTCGATCATTGACTAAAGTATATTGAATATTATTCAAATTGCAAAAAAATATCACTCTCATTTTCTCACTGTATTTTGATCTTGTTGTCTCTTGTGTAATGTATATTGGCATCATCTTATGAGGGAATTTCTTAAGGTATTAAATTGCTTTTCGTCTGAGATCAAGTTAGTTTAATGAGCACTAGTGAGTAGTATACAAACCTATTCTAGGTTGGTTTTCTGAGTCTTTGCTTTTGAGTTATCGAAATTTTATTGAGTTTTTCAGGAAAAAGCTGTAGTTCCCGGCAGATCACGTCGAAAATCGACTTGAGACCTTACACGAACAAAGTTCTAGATGAGATTAGTTCATTGTGAAAGTCTTAGTTTTTCTAGTACTTCCATTCTGAAAATATAAGTGTATGAACATAATATGCTTTGACACATGAAGGAATCGTGAATATTCTATATCTCAGTATATGAATCAGTGAAAACGTCATTACTTGTCCAATGAACTGATCTCTTTAAGAACTTTGTTTGGGCAAACTTTTGAAGTCAAAAGTCCAAAGTCGATTTTCCATGTGACCTAGCGGAAACACTAGAATTTTTGGTTGAGAAATCCAATACAATTTTGATATCTTAAGAGACAAAAACCGGCAAATCAAACTATTCTAGTTTTTCTATGAATCGCTGGCACTCATCAAATGAATATTCTCTCGATGACAAAGTGGTTTGACACCAGCAAAGATCTCATTATTAGTATTAATTAAAGCGATTAAATCGTTGTATTCTCTCTTATTAGTGTCGCATTTTTTCGAAGTATTCAACAATTAATGAATGTGACACACAGCATGATACGCCTAGTTTGAGGTCATTAAGACAAGAAATTGTTTTCTCTTACTTGGACGTTCTTGATAGTATTTATTGTTCTATGTTGACGTTTGTATTATTTCATCATCTTGAATATTGATGCTCTAAAATAAATGAATGCTTTATAATAAGACTAACGACATATCTATAATGTTACTAAATTTCGTTGTCGAGTCTGTGAAACTATCACAAACGAAACATAAATACGATATATTTTATTATAGTATAAATGCGGTAGAAGAAACATCAGCTACAATCATTCTCTTGAGACAAGTTTCTAATGATACAAGGAACCAACATCGATTAACCCTTTCGTGCCGGGTGTCTCATATATGGGACAGCAGGGTTTTTCATTATATGCCCGTAGTAATACGACTCGAAGTACAATTTGATACGAGTGTTTGAGAAGTTCTATCTATTACAAGGATAGAAAGACCAATGGGGATGATAATTTTACAGTAAAAATGCATTTCGAATGCGAAGCTTTTAATGCTTCGTTTCGTCTGTCTTAAAAAATTGAAAGAAGTAGTTTGTTAAATCTTTAGGACTTGTACTTGCGCGTTTTGTCTCCTATTCTGCCATCCGTCAGTATTATAGTATAGGACTCTCACACATGCGTATTCTATTCACATTTTATTTTGTTCTGCTTACATGCATGATATTGCATTTATGAGTGCAAGGAGTGCAATGTTGGTTTATGCGTAGTACCATGTTTTGAAATCTATCATACATTGAAACACTTCTAATAAAAATTATATATAAAAATTATACTATAAAAGGTGCAGATCATTGTTTTACAGAATTTCCAGAGATTCAGAAAGCTACTTTTCCTTCCAGACGCTCGAGCTTTTTACACACTGTGATAAAACTAATTGTCCATTGGATACGAACACATTTCTTACTGAAAAAAACCCGGCACGAAAGGGTTAAATCTACTACAATAAGAATAGAAGGATAACTCTAGTATCAATTAAATAATACAGTCGACAAAAAGAACAACTATATTTTTTTATTTGTTCCTATACTAATTCATCATCACTTTACTTATTGGTAGATCAACAATCAACATCGATGTAATATCTCCTTATCGAGAAAAAAAGGTCGAAAGCTTTTTTTAAAATATTGAGATAGTTCATCACATCAATGATCGTGAGATAAGGTTAAGTAACCGCCATCGATTTGACTTTTATGGTACCAATCCTCTACATATATGCTCTCTTCAGAGCAATAAATACGTCCCTTTTTCATACTTATTGTAGGTCTCAAAATTGACTTTCATATCGATTACTTTCCAATACGTTCATTTTTTACTTGTTTGTTTCCTTTTGCGTACCCTCCTTCGTCTGTGTTCAATCAACAGTGATGGAATGGGACAAAGAAACTCATTTATGTCGGCGCATGAAGGTGAACATGAGTTAAGATTTAGCCATGTGAGCTACTCATCTTTCTTGTAGTTCTTTCTAATATCGAGATTAGTACCACATCACACTTCTAGTTAATCAATGGACTACTTTTGCAAAACAGTATCAAGTAATTTGAGGTAGGAATTCCAAGGTGTCAATAAAGATCGACCTTTCCATTGAAGTGCTCTGTTAAGTACACGATAAAAACTTTCATTATTTCAATCAATAGTATGCACCAAAATCGTTAGTAATTCATCGGGCGTAAAGTCATAATCAGAAAGGACATGACATGACTTCGTAGCTGTTTTAATGACCTGATCTAATTCATTGATATGAAAGAGAATATGATCGAGAGAGTTTTGAAGAGGAAGCACTAAATAAATTTAGCATACGTCAACAGCTTGCGATGATGATGATTTGTAACTGAAATGAGTGAAATAAAGTTTGATTGAAAAAAGATACAATAATAAATGATTGACACTGAAGCAAAGTACATTATATGTGAATGCGGTATTAATTGGTGGTGGTACAAGACTTTTAAGATAATGTAAAATCAACAGAGTTCTATGGAGCAGCTAAGAAGTCACCTTATCTCTTCAGAATGTCTCTGTTGCATCAAAAACTGCTTTGGAAAGTGACATTTGTTTTTTGCAAATCTTTGCAGCATCCAATTTGAACAAATACGATCGTAAACGACTATACTTCAACAAGTATGATGTTTTATATGGCGCAGCATTAATATTATAAATCTTCGTATGACATACAAAGAAACAGGGTGATTTAGGGAAACTATTATTCATCTGCTACTGTCTGTGTACCTGGATATCATATACAATATCCGTTTTGTTTTATATTTCTTCATATGTGATCTTATTGGTCTGTATATAGTCACCGCACTATCCGACTGCAATACTGAGCTATACTATGTAGCAGAATTGCTGATAAGCACACACAAACTTTCTGTTTCTTGCTTTCGACATACGTCATATCCATATTCTTATTTCCATGATATTGAATAGAGCCAATAAAATATATGTGGGCTATTTCAAACTATAAAAACAAATGACAAGCACTTGTATAAGAGCGTAGCAAATTTCAAATTACAGTCTATTTTCACTAGCAATTTTATTGTTAATTTCTGATTTTCTTTTGCCTGTAGAAGACTTTCATAGTTAACAGAAACCAACAAAAGCAATTATTAGAAATGTAGTCGACTCATATCTTTCAATAGCTTACAATGAAACAGAAACGGATTATACAAAAATATAATCCTTTTTCTCAATGGATCATTTTACTTTACCTGTATACCGATAAACAAATGGCATACTGTTGTATATGTTAATAAATATAAACGGAGTATTATTAGCGCACTAATTCGATCGATTTGGGTATTACTGATATTGCAAGATATTGTTGGATTATTGGCGTGCGTTTATGGAGAACGAACTATGAA